AAAAATCTTCATAAGAACTGGAGACTTGTTAAATAGACAAACATATGACACTTGAATGTTGTTATGGGCATTTAAAACAGTGCGCTTCAGCGGTCTTCTCAACACCTAGTTCCTTAGGAAATCCATTGTGTAAGTTATCTCTTTTTTCCTCAAATGGGAATTTATGTATTTTGTCTTATGGTTGTTTGTTTCAGGTTTTTTATTTTTTGTTTTGTTTTATATTTGTTATTGTTTTTTGAGACAGTCTTGTTCCGTAGCTCAGGCTGACCTTGATCTAGATAGGCTGGCCTGGAATGCAGGGTAATCCTCCTGCCTCGGCCTTCTGAGTGATAAGAATGAGCCACCATTTCCGGCTACATGTATTTGTTTACACTATTGACACCACTTCCTTCAAATGAACCGTTGACTTCACCCTTCATGGAACTGGAAGCTTACCTTCTCTAAGGCATATGTTCACATAGCCATTGTTATGTGACTTGTATTGTCTGATGTACTCACGTGCCACCAAAAAAGTTTAAGAGCTCATCCTTGTTTTTTAAAGAGGACTTTAAATTTTTAATATTTATTTCAAATAAGTCAATGCCAATGTTTAAAACTATACTTTCAACCCCCAATGGCAATAAACCCATTATTTAAATGAACAGATAAAAGTGAATGTAAAAGTCTGTTCATGAGAAAGGAGAGGTCTGACAATCGTTTCCTATAGTTCAGACGTTTGTGTTCCTAAGACTTGAAGATGACTTGTTCTCAGTGTTTAATGTGATTCGAACTAATGCTCTCCTACAGGTAGAACCAAGCAGGAGCCTCTGTTTACTGACAGGCTTAGCTCTTGAGCACCTCCTCCCCCTTTCCCCTAAGACAGAGGTCATTAACACTTAGCAAAGGACTAATTATATCTACTGCCTTAAACGCTGGAAGATAAGTAGTTTTAGTTAAATGTATGATTTTAGTTAATGATCTACCCTTTTTAAGTGGTGAAGTGGATGAAAAGTAAAAAAACAATAAAATCAATATTTATGCTCCAGAGGTAATTCCTGAGAAAAACTCAGTTCAGGATCCTTTCTCCCTTCTTTTCTTCCTTCCTTTCCTCTCTTCTCTTTCTTTTAAAATTAAACTCCAATTAAACTTGGGTCATTTTGTTGTCTTATTAAATGTTTTTAAACTGGTGTTGATTGGGGTATAAGTTCAAGTAACCATCAAGTTTTAAACCTGACTGGATTCAGACAGAAAAAGTCACTGCTACACTTTTAATGAGGTCTTAAAAATATTGGCATTCCAGTTTCCATTGCAACAAAAAGCAAGAACAAAGCAAAAATCCCTCCTAACAGGCACTTCATCTCTAACTCACTCAGAAATCTGGCTCATTAATGACTGTTATAATCTTATGCAACCAAACCAATTTTTGTTTGTTTGTTTTGTTTTGAGACAGGGTCTCACAATGCAGGCTTGGCTGGCCTGGGACTCACAGAGATCTGCCTGCCTCTGCTCCCACCCGAAAGTCTATGCCGCCATGTCTGACTCCATACCAAGTGTAATAGGCTCTGCTAGAGCCACTTCTATGAAAAGGTTCAGATAGATACCGTATAATGGATGACTAATGTGTTCTGAAGGCACTGTCATCTCCTGCAGGTACCAGTTAGCCCACGTCAGGGCCTACACCTGCACTCTTATTCCTTTTTGTATTTATTTTGTTTTTGCTGTTTCCGATCCTTTTTTAAAAAATGTATCTGAGTGTTTTGGTCTGCATATATGTATTGCTTAGATAAAGTTTTATCTTTCTTTATATCATTTATTAACATTTCCACTACCGCTCAAGCTTTCTAGATTTTGCTTATTTGAACTGTGTTTCAATCTTTTGAAAAAGTCCTCAAATTAATGGTCTATACTTTACATAGAATAATTGTGAGAATGTAGACTATTCTTCTCAATTTGGTACTTTGGAGCAATGTCCTTTAACAGTTAATTCTTGTTTGAAATTATTTAAATGCTTAAAATCCAGTATGGAAATGTCACAAAATCTTGAAGATGGAGAGTTAGAATACTTCCATTCAGATGTGTCATTTGACAGGAAAAACAGAAGAAAACCTAAACAACCATCTGCTGTCTCCCGACCAGGTGATTGCTATGATGCTGTCCTCTCTTCTCTCTTTTCCTGAGCTGAGAAGCAGGACACCTTGACCTGCCATCATTCAATGTGTGTGGTGGATGATTATTTGGTCAGGGAGAATCTGTTCCATGAAGATCCCTTTACTTACTCTTAAGTTCTTAGTGCTTCACTTTCAGTAACCCAGCAGATCTACTCTGGTACAACATATACTATCATTAAACTGTGGAAACTCAGTCTGGAGAGATAGATAGCTTAGTGGTAGAGAAATGGCGAGCATGTGAAAGGCTTTTGGTTCGATACTTGACCCCTAACACTTTGTAAAATTCCTCAAACCAAACAAGAAAATGAGTAAGAGCACTTCTTCCTGAAAGGAAGTGGCAGCTGGATCAAGTATATTTTCCAGCTTGAATGTACTGTGTCTTTGCCTCCCAGCTGAAAGTGTGTGTCACCATGTGATTTTTACCACTTAATGCAATAAATTTTAAGTGATAGGGTGATGCTTGTAGATTCCTTACAGTAAGAATCTTTGGTCATGAATTATTAAGAAGAGTTCTTACTGAATGACTAGAATGTCTGAATAATTTTCTACTTTTCAAAAATTTGTTTAGAATGTGTTTTGTGTTCAATTTGTATTCCCATAGAAATGTAGTATCCATTTTAAATGGGTGTGTGATAATGTCTTTATTTGGCTAGATCTTAACTAGCAACTCTCTCTCTTTCTGAATGCATTTGTATCTGGGCAAGTGTGTGTGTGTGTGTGTGTGTGTGTGTGTGTGTGTGTGTGTGTGTGCGCGCGCGTGCATATGCATAGACACATACATGCATGTGCATGCACCCATGAATGTGGAGGCCCAAACAAACTTGGATATCATTCCTTAGGTACTGCCTACTTTCTTTTTGAGGCAGAGTCTCTTCTGGCCAGGTAGGCTAGGCCAGCTGCCTAGTGAGTTCCGGCTATCTACTTTCCACAGCTAGGATTACAAGTGTGTTGATAAATGTAGGTCCTGAGAGGCTGAACTTGGCCCGTCATGTTTATGTAATGAGCAGTTTTCAGACTGAGCCATTTCCCTAGCTCCACCCCCCTTAAAAATGTATTTCCATCCTTTTGTGGAATACTAGAAATTAGTTTTTTTGGGGTTTTTTTTGTCAAATGGAATAATGGACTTTATGCTGTACTACATCCAGTTTTAATGTAAGTTACAAACCAAAGACACTATAGATAACCTCAAAGGAAGACACATTTTTGAAAGATTGTTTTAATAAATTGTGTGGTTTTCATGGTTTTAGAAGTTGAAACAATTATGATGTCAATATAGTGGCAAGATTTCAATCAGACATCCACTGTATTACAAAAGATCCCCAATGTGTCTAATTGTACAGAAATAGTATTAAAAGAGGTTAAAAAGTATTCCTTATTTTTAGGGATGCACATCAAAGTATATTTGAACTAAAATGACAGAATGTCTTATATTTGACTTTAAAAGTAAGGCTAAAAAAGCAAGAAAAATAACATCTTTGGCTTTATAACAATGGTTATGCATAATGGCAATTCATCACACCATTCTCTCTACTGTTGTGTGCAGGTGAATTTTTCACACAAAGAACAAGCTCTAGAGCATTTTAGGTGTAACAACTCATTATTGCAATTGAACAGATTTTTAACTTGATTTTTATACTTTATTTTTCTTTTTCGATCTGTGTGTATGATTTATACATGAGTCTGTATCTATGTGTGCATGGGTTCCTTGTGCACAGACATGTGGAGGTCAGAAGTCAGTATTAAGTATCTTCCTCTATTATTGGCCTCCTTATTTTTCAAGAAAGGATTTGTTACTAAACTCAGAGCTACTCAATTTTGGTTATGGCCAGTAAAATACTGAAATTATATGCTTATGTATTTCTCTACACATATATGTCCACATAATACATACTCCTAATTATGCATATAATATGCATATACATTTCCATAAATATTCTTATGTACAAATATCCCTCTATAGTTGCTAAAACAGTAATGCTGATATAAAGGCATTCCTTAGAAAAGTTATTATAGTGAATTGTTTCACAATTAAGGTACTAATGTCAAAAGATAGCTAAGATCAATCTGATGATTATTGTACTCAGGATCTAAGATTTCAGAATAATCGTGTGTGTTTGTGTGTGTGTGTGTGTGTGTGTGTGTGTGTGTGTGTGTGTATTACAGAAATAAACCTTGTAAAGTAGAATCTCATTATTGTCAACTTTAGAAACTTTGTTAAATTATCTCCTTCATTTTCCTGGAAAAATAAATAAATGAAGTTTTAGGTAGATAATAGCATGCTAATAGACTGACAATTTCAGCTGTCATGAACCAAATTAGTAACTTTTTATGTTCCGGACTAAGGAAGATTATAATGGCAACAGTTGCATTGTTGCACCTCAAATCCCTGTCTTTGCAATTGATGTTCCCTTTAACCACATGTGCGCCACTCCAGCTTACCTGACTTATTTAATAGACATACTAATAGTGGCAGAGGAAATATAAATAGATTATAGTGGTTCCAAACACTTTTGGAGATCTAAGCCTCAGCTCAGAATACTTATACTAAGTATGAACATTGTTTTGTGCACATATGGAAAGATTTTAGGCACTAAATTCTGCTAGGTACCACCCTCACTGAATATCTTTCTATATAGGTTCACTATCTTGAGTTATCTCTTTTAGTAAATTGTATATGAAAGAGAATGAAATCCCAAAGCCTTTAAAA